TCTTATATAATTCTGTTAGGTTGAAAACGTCTTGTTCATAATGCTTTAACAAAGCTCTTTAAACATACATGAGATATATGGTATATGTATCATATATATGTTTATTACTGCATATTTAAAAATTATATATAATGCTGCATACACTTTAATAGTGTATGAAGAAAGCGTAATTCCACAAGACATTTACTTCATGCATTCTCTATGCTTCTCCACAAGATAGATTTCATATTCTACCATCCAATATCAATTATTGTCTGACTGTTTTCTTAGTGGTATCTGTTGAAATTCTATAATTGTACATTTTGATAGAAATACTATCAAAAAAGGCACTGTATTCTCTCCCTTTTTGTGTTTCTATAATTCTAGTTCACTGCAGAAAGGCTACATTTATCTGAAGTCTTTGCATCCTGTATGTATTTTGCATTTTAGGAACTCATGCCTTATAGAACATGGATAATATTCTGAAATTCTATATTGATATACTAAATTGATATACTCCAAATTGCCATTTGATGGTAAAGTATAATATTCAATCACGGTGAACCATCTTCCCTCTTTAGAAAATTCTATATTGAATAAATGATTGACCTATATGATTTCTAATTTGAGCAAAGTCCAATTTTAAAGCAATTTATAGGAATTAAAACTCTTGAAGAGTAATTAAAATACATTACTACTACCTAAATCGTGTATATCCCTAAATTGTCAAGATACTTATCATTTTTATTTCCAGCTGGGCATTTGTCAAAGTCACTTAGACAAAATGCAAGGCAATCAATTTCATGTAATACCTATTTTAAAGAACTTCCTTTGGGCATAATAATGAGCCAATTAGTATAAAAATGTAAAAATGGAAAATTATACTGCATTTTTACCATAAACAAATGAACTCATTCATAAAACTTAACTATTTACAACCTTCTATGTTATATAAAATACATATACACATATGGATCCACAGTCCTCAAATTATGTTGGCTAAAGCAAGAACACAAATGTATTTTTGTACACATGCACCAATGTTTCCTGAGGAGCTTTCACATTTAACATTTTGGTATATGTCGCCACTTAAGACTCAAAGTCATCACATGTGATTTACACATTTCAGTCTCAAGCTTACTCTTTCTAAATTCCTGCACAAATTCCTCTGCTTTTGTAAGTATAATCCAACTGCCAATTTTGTTCATCCTCCTGTCTTCTCACTTGTCATCAGAAGAAAAGAACACTCTGGCTACTCTAACACAATTCTTCTTTTGTAGGTTCTGTGAATATATTTGCTCATATTTAATGTTATAGCTGTGATGTTCTGTACTCCCACATATAGCCATATATTTCTAAACAATTTGCAAAGAAGCAGCTCTGAATAAAAGTTAAATTTAAAATAATTAAATAGAAGTGGCCATAATCTACATCACTGACTGATAGTACTATGGAAGATTACTAATGGCCACATGCTCATACAAAAAATAAAATCTTCACATCTATTTTTTTTCAGACAGGATCTCATTATGTTGCTCAGTCTGGCCTTGAATTCACTGTGTAACCCAGGCTGGTCTTGAACTCACATCAATCCAATCCTCTGCCTCAGCCACCTGAGTGCTGAGATTACAAGCATGTGCCACAATGCCTTGCACACATACTTTTTTTTTTTTTACTATTTTTATTCAGCAATGAATTCTTTCATATTATCTTGATCAACTTGAAAGATGAAACAAAATGAATAGGAGCATTATTTAACAATTTTAAATTTCAAAAATATTTTTACCTTCATTTGAAGTTTTGTTGACCCGATCTTTTTTTATATTAATATATATTGTAAATATGCATATGTAGTACACCAATAAAGATTGGGAAAATTCCCATATCTAAAATATACAAGTAGTGCAATATTTTGCTAAATCTACTTCTCAATTTATTTGTTAAGAAATATTTAACTATTTATTTGCCTTAAGCAAACAAAGGTATAGTTTTGGATCTCAGTTTAATTGTGTTGGTAAAGAAGCAACAACTTTGGAGCACCGTTTCTGTTCTTGGATAACATTCCATAAATTTAGAATGTTGAAATATCAACCTAGTGCTTATTTCTCTCAGTTATGATTAAAGTCTACACAATTTTTCAGATGAAGACATAATTGAATTGGGTCTGAGGAGATGAAAAGTTCATTTACAAGTTTCATTAATATAAAATTTGTTTTATGATCAGCTGAAGTTTTCTGTTCCATGGACTATTGATGTTCATTAGGAAATTTTCTGTCTCCTACACAAGTGCCTATTCTCCATCATCCATAAATCTGCTGGCAGACTTTTTGTTGTTTTATAAATACCATTGAAATATATTATTTTCAAAGAAATTATGCATTATTATCTTACAGGAAGTACTCAGTAATTCAGAATCATTTTTGATAATCACATAGGTAAATAGATGAAATCATCAAACCAAATTTATACAGAAAAACAGATTTAATCAAAAAGATAATTTTATTTTTAAAAATAACTAACTGTGGACCTATATTTTCTTGAAATATTAATAAAGTGACATAAATGTCTAGGATTCAGCACAAAAGGAAATAGACAAAAGAAGTCAAGAGATAGAGCCCAATTTTGGGATCTTTGTGGAGAAGACAGAGCTTAAGTTAGTTCAGTAAGTTGCATTTGCAGAGAAAAATGAGAATGGAATTCTTAATTTTAAAAACACCTTGAGCAACTGTGAGGTGGATAACGAAGGGAGAGACTAGAATAAGAAGTACTTCTAAAATGCTATCAGAGAACAGGTTTCTAACTTACTTTCCTAAACTCCAGAATTTTATGCTTACATTATGCCCAATGCCCTGTAACAGGAAATAAAATGGCTCTTATTATGTTTCTTAACCTTATTATTTCTGTGTCCTCCCACGAAGTCCTACCATTATAATTATCCAAAGCAATTTTGTGGTATAATGAAGGATATTGGGCTCAGGCCCCACTGCAGGAGACAATAGCAACTTGTGCTCTGCCCACTAATCCCAAAGCAATTGTTACTTAAATTTTAAGCTTCAGATTCAAGCTTTTCCTGCCAATTAACTGCTTACCAAATTGATTTATAAAATACAGCAATTTCTTGTGCCAGTCTTAAGGTAGCCCTTTAAAAAGGCCTTGCATCTTAATTGCTGGTGCATGCAACCAAGTTATTTTTAATTTGTAAATTTAATGAAATTCCCAATTCAATACAGAAAAGCTTAGTAAAATACATTTAAGGAAACTCTTAGTGTTTTTGCATTTTTTCATTTTCTTTTTCTTTCAAAATAAGGAAAAATGCCAACTTACGTATTAAAAGGGGAAAACAGCAAAGATATCAGAAAACACTTCATTTTTATGAATCATAATGTCTTGAACTTTAAGAAACTAGGCAGAATATGAATTAGAAATGTATGGTTTATGACTACTGTGTATTTTGTTCCCTAAATGAACTATGTTTTCCTTAAAAACAGAGATAATATATAGTACCAGGTACAACTCAGCCCCCAATGGACACTGTTGAGAGTATACATGTGTGAACACTATTTTACTGGAAATTTAAAACATACTAAAATGATAAACAGATTTGTGACATACAATGAAAGCAATACAAAAAAATGTATCTTCACAGAGTAGTTGGATAACTTTTCCATGACTAACTTCAGATATTGGCAGAGAAACAGCTGATTCCATTGCATAATTAAAATAATAGCTAGCCAGCTGGAATCTCTTTGCTATTCAAATCTTTTTTCTCATAATGACCTTTTCATAAGCCAATACAAGCAACTGAGAATCCTGACAACAAAACATTCTGACCCAATTATACACCATTTGCAGCTGTTTCAATTTGGAATTATGCTAGACCCAGTAAATAAAACTTTAAAAACATAACTGATTTGAGAAATAGGGTATCTAATGATAGCATGTTTCTGGTAGATATGCACGCTGTATCCTGTTTTGTGAATAAGATTCAAAATCCCAGATTCCTTTGAATTGAAAAGCCTTGGACAATTTTGCACTCTTAGTTCTTGATTCTTTCATTAACTTTCACAAAGTTGATTAGTTCTTCTAACCCAGAAACTGTTGACAGATCTTCTATCTCAAATCTCTCTCCAATTCATTTGGACATGACCTGAATAGAACTAGTAATTTCTAAGCCAAGATCCAAAATGCAGCTGTTTCCCTTTCCAGTACTCTACATAATTATTTTAAAATACAGGTTCTTCCAGTAAGGCATGAGAAACTACAGGATAGAAAATGGCCACTTGTCCAACCTGTTGTCCCCACCAAAGATATCAGCTTCACCTGCTTCCCATGCTGTTTGCACTTTTAATGTATCTTCAGATAACATTTTTGTGTAATAAAAATGTCTAATTTCCTCTTTAACTTATTTATACCATTTGCTTCAATTGCTGTCTGAAAAAACCTATCTAAAATCATCAAAATGTGCTAGAATATGCCCAAGAATAAGGAGCTTCATGTCTTATTTTAATTCATTTGATTTTTCTGAATTTTGTCTGTCTCTTAGAATAGGAATAACTCTCGAAATGTTCTCCGATTCTTGGATTTCCCTAATGCAATTTTCTTCTTGAGGCCAGGAAAGATAATTGAGCACTTAAAAAATAGCTATCATGTCTACCCTCATTTTTCATATGACAAAACTTTTACATTTTCAGATAGGTATTTATTAATACTGATCTAAGAAAAACCACAGATACAGACTATTATCTTCCAATACAAGAATAATTATAATTAAAGATGTAAATTAAATTTTAACAAAACACCAACTGTATACAAAATCTTATTTTAATAATTGTTATTAAACATGAAATAGAACACTTTTTCAATTTAAAAAAAGATTAACTCTGAAATGGTGCCGTCACAAGAACAAATATCTCTCTCTCTCTCTCTCTCTCTCTCTCTCTCTCTCTCTCTCTCTCTCTTTCTCTCTCTCTCTCTCTCTCTCTCTCTCTCTCTCTCTCTCTCTCTCATGCACACTCTCTTACCTCCCACCATGAGTAATTATTTCTGTGTTCATTTGTAGCGCCTTGTCCACTAAGGTGCATCCATTTTCAAATTAGGAAATGGAGCATTTTTACAGTCACATTACAGTGAACATCTGGTAATGCATGTTAATAAGAGAGTGGGAGTTCTGGTTGGTGGACTGTCAAGACTGCCCTTTTATGGATCTAGAAATGATGACATGAAGGTTTGAAAGCTGACACAGCTAATGCCCATCATAGTTATAGAAGACAAGCATTTGCTGTGTTTATGAAGGCACTGAAAAAAAGAGAAATTATATGCAAAGATCAGAGATTCGTGCAAATACATAAACGAACATGATGTACTTAAATTTAGATGTAAAAATATGCCCATATGTAGTATAAACCCACAACTTTCATCTGTAAAAACTTTATACCTAGTTAGGTTGAGTTTTATTCAAACAATGAATGAAAAAATTCTTGAAAAGGTGTGCCACCAAAAAGTTGGTAAGGCTGGACAATCAGAAAACAGGACGTGGTCTATCGTGATTCCTATGCCCCCCTCCAGCCAGTATATTCTCAAGACAATCAGACAGATTTAGAAACAAATTAATTTTATTTTCTTGGCCTTTCTTTATAAACAGAAGTTTATAAAATAAAGTTTCAGTAGATCTGAAAGTTTGCAATTTTCAATTACCTAAAATAATTCTAAAAATTGATTTATGCACTAGCGAAATGAAATTGTCCATTTTATCTAGATCCAGTAATTCTTTTACCTTTAAAAAATAGGTGCAACAATTGTTGAAAATGTCTAATTATTCATTATTTTAGAGTTTACCTATTAAAAACAATGTGAGTATTGAAACACAAAAAATGCTTAAAAAGACTTTGTTTTGTTCCTGTATTTTGCATTTCTTAGGCCTTGCTAAAATATTCTTATGTAAAAAAGCTTTGTTCTTTTTTGGTTAGAATAGAATGCCTGGAATACTGTCTCCAGTGACTCCAATACTGTGATTTTGAATTATCTGCTAAATGACAGCCTCTTCAAAACAAAATGTGTTTTATGCTTCCAGTATAGGGAATTAAGCAGAAGATGTGATGAAAACAGTTTTTTTATGATCACATATGTGATTCACATAAAATTATCAGGTATTATATTAATGTATCAGATTATGAAATCATTTTGTATTACCATTATAAACTACATCATTGCCAGAAATCAATATGCTTCCAGGAGGCTTAAATATACAAGACGATGCATAGCACTTATAATTTCTTTATACTTGCACTGTTTATTACGTTGTTGGTAAATCTACTTTGATTTGTTTTCCTTAGTATTCCTACTAAGTATTCCTACTTTGATGTTCAACCAAAATCCCAATCATATTCTAGAACTATAGATCATTTTCCTAATAATGTGCACCTTAAGGAATAACTTCTTTACATGTTACATATTTTCTTGGATTTGTAAGAGTCATTTGAGAGCAACCCATTCAGAACATTTTCTGTCTCTCAGGATCTCTCTCTCTCTCTCTCTCTCTCTCTCTCTCTCTCTCTCTCTCTCTCTGTCAAATTTACTAGAAAAAAGACATTTGAGCATAATCTGTTGCTTTGAAAAAGATCACACAACATATTCTAAATAATTACAATCACACTAATTTGATTACTCTTCCATATATTTAACTTAGTTATAGGAATGTCTCTTAGTAATAAATATTTGTAGTAACCCAAAATGATTGTTGTCATAACTTCAGACACCTGTAACATAACCTTAGTCTTAAAAGTAAATATTTCATTTCACTGTTTCCACATCCTTTTGTTTGAGTCAGTTATGTGTTTCCAGATTAACATGTGTTATATAAAGTCAGAAGAATATTTTTTCTTTACTACCTCCATTCTTCCCTCCTGTCTGTTTCCCTCTCTTTTCTCCCAAATTCTTATTGAACACGACAAGGCAAAAAGCAATAAAGATTCAAAGCCAACATGTTTTGGTAAATATGACAGAACCAATATTTACTAAAACTGTAATCTCTTCAAATGTTTAAAATATATAACATATATAATAAATGTAAAAGACATGAGATGAAGTTAGACAGTATTAGGGATATATAGTAAGGCAATGCTAAAATTAAAGTAGCATTATAGTAGTCCCCATTTGACATGTATCTTCTTGACATTTTAAGAAAAACTAGAAAATAAAATATAATAAATCATCTAAAATCTTTTAGATAAAGCAAGGTACAGTGCAGTGCTACAAACTAGAGAGATGGAACACAAGATTACAGCCTTACAATCATGGTTTCCTTCCTTCTGGTGCATTCTTGACCACCTGACTGATGGAGAAACCCTAGTAGAAGACAGGTGTTTACTGAGGAGTAAAAACAGTGACCAGTATTGACTGGAACTGGGGGTAAGGGAAGAGTTTTGGAGATGAAAATACTGTGGATTACAAAGGGGCCAAGAGCAGGCTTATGTGTTAGTCTAACATGATTTCATGAAGACAAGAATATATGAGATGTCTGAGGCAAAAGATAAATACAAAAAAGCACAGTTCATGCATCATAGGAAATCATCTTTTAACAGGTATGAATTGAAAGAAATTGAAATAAATGAAGTCAATAAAGTCGTTTTTCCTAATTTATTATTTGCTCTGAAGATACTGACACTGTAACACAAAGGTCGAAGTAAATATTTTGTTAATATTCTAGTGGTACAATATATTGAAATATAGACTCTAATTAAAGACATAAATTGGAAACCCTAAATCAACAATTGAAGTATTTTAATAAAGTTTAAAAAGTCAGTTATGGAAAGAAAATAGAATAAAAACAAATAAATTGTTCAATTCAATGAGTGGGACAGACAAAAAGAGAAAAATAAAACTCAGATACACCATACATAAAACAGCTGGAAAATTGATTGATTTTAATTTAGTCTTAACAATAATCACATTAAATTTTAATGTACCAATAAAATATAAATTAGATAATTTGATAAAGATTCAAATATAATCCTTTTTAGATAATATATTATAAATATAACTTTTGGTGTATTTCATGAATATAAGGATACATGAAAAATATAGAAAAATACAACACAACAGCTATGTAAGGGAAAATTGGAATTGATTTATGAACAATTGATCATATTGATTTTATGAATGAGCATATTGATTTTATGATAAAGAGCCTTATCAGAGATAAGTATCTTTAAAACATATAAATAAAATATTAATAAGTCTAAAGAAGAAATAAATTTACAACTTTAATGTAATAATAGAAATTTAATATTTATCTCTCAATAATTGATGGAACAAATTGGCAAATGTAATTTATGAAATAGAATACCTGTATGCACAACACCATCAGCTGATTTACTCAACTTTGTCTTAAAGCAACATTCCACCAAACAAAAGCAGAATGCTCATTTTTATAAGTACACATGGAATATTCACATTTAGATTCTAAATCCTGAAGCTTATATATAGCCTATCAAAATGAAATAAAAGCCAAGTATTATTTAATAATGCAATGGAATTAAATAGAAATCAAAACAAAAATATGATAAATCAATGAGTTTTTTGAAAATTAAACAGCACAAAATGACCTGTGCCTGGGATACTCAAGATGACTCCTAGGCTTGGTGGCCTGTAAGGATAATTTACAGCGCTCAGTCTATAGACCTACTAAAGGCTGCGGTATATTGCAGTGAAATGTCACAAACTGAAATTCACAGTAGGAAAGGAATCTGGGTTGGAACCTACAGAAGTGAAGTGTAAGATTAATTCACACAGGATGAGCTTATTTCTTCAAAGCACTGAGTTGTTTGAAATATCGGTGCTAGCAAAGGTCACTAGAAACTCAGAGCCAAGACTTTAATTGAGAAGCTGGCAACATAAATACCCTTTGCCTGGTATCTACTTCAATTCCAGACTCTTGAAAGGGAAAAGTGTTTAGTATACTCCACACTGCTTTGCAAACAATTTGAGCACAATGGGTCATTTTCATCAGTTAAGAGTAGAAATTTCCTTTCCACAGTATTCACATAGACACAGCAAGTTTAATCTTGCAAAGAAGATCTTTTGTAAAAATATTAGGCTAAGGCATGACTTTTCTGCAATATAACTCATGGGTCAAAGAAGTTTTAAGAGAAATAAAATGAAAATATACTGTATTAAAATTTGTAATGTGCAACTAAAGAAAAAACTTAGAAATAAGTATTTATAAGAAAAAAACAAAATATAGTAATATAAGTTTTATTGGACTTTCTAAAGAGTATTAAAAATTATATCTAATAAGTAAATTTAGCAAGGTTCTAGCATACAGTAAAATTAAGGATATTAATTATATTTTATATACTCAAAATACAGAAGAGAATTAAAATGTAAATTATACTCATTAAAATTTTAAAATGTGGTAATACACTTTGCAAAGAATGTGTCTTTTCCATTTAAAACTGAAAAATACTGATATGACAATTCAAAAAGATACAAATGAGTATAGATATTTATTATGCTTATGATTGAGAGATACAATACTTTCAAAAATTTTATTTATCATAAATTGATATTGAGATACATATTTACCTCAATTACAATTTCAGAGAGATTTTTATAGAAATTGACTAATTCTAAACTTGGCTTAGATAAACACAGATTCAAAGTTTATACTACCTGATTTCAAGAATTTCTGTGATCTTATCAAGAGATTATACGGTTGTATGTGAAGTTAGTTGTAGGAACCAAACAAACAGTATAGAGAAAAAATATCAGGAAATTTTCAATTGAGTAAGTATTAAAGGACAAAAGTATCTATTTACACTCTTATCACACTCATAAAAATAACATCATTACACTCCAAAGTGATAAAGAATTCTATCAGAAAACAGGAACCAGAATTCTGACATTCTGGGTTAATCAAAGCTATCCTAACAGAACATTTATACACACAGACATTCTCTCTCTCTCTCTCTCTCTCTCTCTCTCTCTCTCTCTCTCTTCCTGAAGCATAGAATGAGTAAACTGGACTTCATCAAATATAGAGTGCTTTTCTGTACTAAACTATACAATTAAAGAGTAAAATTGAAAATATAAGCAATAAACTG